TAGTAGTAGTACTATTGCTGAGGATGCTGCTTATTTAATGACTACTAGTAATACTACTGTGATCAAGATGTCAAGGAAATATTTGTAGATGCTGCAATCATGTTGTTGTATCTACTAGGAAATATTGAAATAGCTTCAACCACCAGCAGATGATGTAGGAATATGTTTTAATTAATTTTAACATTTGTGTTTAGTGAACAAGAAGGAGTACAAACTAGTAGCAAGCAAGAAAAAATATTGTTTTGTTCATTTTGGGGGTGGAAATATTTGGCAACAACATACAACAGGAAAAGTTGACTCTTCTACACTGCTTATTGTCTTACAGGGGGGTACAGGAAGGTTAAGAAGTTATTTGTAGAAGAGTACATCTGCAGAGAATGATAAGATTACACTCATCTCTTTTAGTAGTAGTACTAGTACTGGTGGTGCTAGTAGTATGTAAGAGAGTTGTTTCAGAGGGACAGGGAAAATATTTCTCACTATGATGTTTTGGCAAGGTTGAAGCAGATTTTGCTCCTTTTGACTTTTTCTTGTTTTTGTTGTTGGTGTTGTGGTTGTTGTTGTTGGTGGTGGTGGTGGTGCTCATGTTATCATGAACACATCCACCACCAAGCCTAGTAACATTTATGAAATGTTGGTGCTCAGCAGGACAAGAAACAACTAAAGGTACTGTTTGTATGCCAACACCATACTAGTGTAGGAGTACTAGTACTAGTAGTAGTATTAGCTATATTTTGGTGCTACTAGTTGTCTGCACCTAGGAAATCATTGTCAGCAAAGAGGAAGGGTAAATTAAGCAACCACCACCAACTACTACTATTAGTAGATTACCAAAAGTGAAAAGTGTAATATGATTTCTTTGTTTGGCAAAATACAGTAGCTTTCCATAAATAACAGCAGCAGAATGAGAGGTAGCAAAGATGCCTTTTCTTACTATTTCTGCATACTGCATGCATTTTTAATGCTCATCTGTTCACATGATGGGTTATAATCTACTGCAAGGAGCTACTACTAGTATTACTATTAAATGTTAACTGTTATAGATGACTAGTAGTAGCTCCCTAATGCATATGATAAAATTTTATCAACTAGTCAATTAAATTTTATTAACCATTTATCTCTTTCATAGTATTGGATCTGTTCACAACAGCTTCTTGTCACTGCCATGTACAATACTAGTAGTAGCCAATTAGGTAGGAAAAAAGATGTAACTGGAACAGCTGGAAGGTAGTAGCATTGAGAAAGAATTACATTTGTCACTTTTTCTGGTCCACATTGCAAAAAATTGGAGTAGTACATCCAACAAAAAGTATTTCTACTACATGTGACATTGCAGTTCCATCCAAATACAATCTTTTGACCTTGTTGTTGGGTAGGTGAGGAAGAGGTTGAGGAATGTGTGATTGCAGTTGGCAAAAAATACAAGCTTCTTGGGAGCAGTAGTACTGCTGATAGTCTAAATAGTAACCTTCAGAAGTTGGACTACTTGCCTAAATGAGACCAGTACTACTAGTAGTAGAACMCATGGGCATTCGGYATGTACATCAGAAGTGTCTAGTGTTTGCAGCGGTTGGCTAGATTCAAATATGCRCGTACACCTTTCTTGAGCATGCCATTGCAGCACAATTGCATAATATGCATGCACCAAAAAWCTCAACAACTTTACGTGACTTCCATTGTGGAGTTTATGAAGGCCAAATTCTTCTGGAATGACCCGCGCATTCATCTCCTAGAGAACAGTTATGCTGCACATCTTAGACTCAATTTAAAAGGAGGTATATTATTCTATGCATATTATTATCGATTATATTATGACTACAAAAACGAAAAATTAAGAAGCAAATCAAAGCAATAGCAAATCGTATGCAACTTTGGCGACTTCGCTACAATACAACACATTCGAATGCAGTTCTGGAGTGCACTATAGTTCCACTAGGTCCTCAAGGATGTAMTTCCGTCTCGACCTCTCGGCATCAATGCTCAACGGAAGCCTATCAAAACGGGGAGCGGTGACATCGTTCGGCATTTTGTTCATCGGAATCTTCGGTGTTTCGGTGGATTGGATTGATTTGACCATGAAGGATCTGCTGGTTCGTGGTATACCCGATTGTCGTCTTCGTTCGCAATATTGACATGTTGGGGAACTGCACACTTGACCGTCGCAGGGAGGCTTTTCGTGCTCRTCAAAGGGAGCATCTTTTGGGGGAGGAGTTGGCTCAAAAGGGCACGAAATAACAGCCATGGGGGAGCTCTCCGAGTCGTAGCTTTCCTCCTCTGTATCATTATCGCCGTTCCCATAAGCAGGACGAGGCATCGAAGAGAATTTCGATGCTCTGCCTCCTTCGTGTGGTGCGATCGCATGTGTGCTATCAAGCACGAGGTCTTTGTCTTCATCATCGTCATCATCATAGTTTCCAGCAGGAATGGGATATTCGTCTTCAAAGGGGACATGGGCGACACGCTCCTGATGCGCTCCGAGAAATTTAGGGTAGCCTCCGGGTAGACTCTTTTGGCGGCGTCTGAAGATGGCAGTGAGAACAACCACTACGATACACATGAAACATCCAGCAGCCAAGACCGAAAAGATAACAATCATAACGCGATGATTTCGATTGCTGTCTTCGCTGGATTTGCTGTTGCTTTGATCGATGGTGTATTCTTGGTCAACTTCTTCGTTGATACCAACAAGCTCGACACCGATAATTCCGGGCTGACCTTCGAAAATAGGTTTCAAGGCCGATTCGAACGCTTGGGTGATTTGATTTAGGAGATATTCCGAGGTTAGAGAGTCTTTCTCATCACYAAGGGTTTGAACTTGAATTCGAATGCTGCTCGCAAACGGCTGTTCACACGATACCGTGGTTGCTAATAAACCCTCAACGAAATCATCATTGTCATTTTTCGTCGTACGTTCGACAGCGTTCTCTACGCAAAAGCCTGTATGGGAATCAGATGGAGCAAAAAAGTTGTGAAAGAAAGAAAGGTGAGTTCTATAAGGTCAGATACCATTTCCCAATGGTTTTTTTTAAATCAAAAGCTGAAGAGCGAATCTAAAGCAGTGCTACGCACCTGTGTTTGACCAGGGTTCCACCACAACATAGGTAATAATTGGAGTCAACTCGTCTTCCAACCCCCTTTTGTTCCTGTCACTTTCATTCGATTTTTCCGCACAACCCGCAATCTCATACGCCATGGCAATATTCGTCCCATCCAGAAGATTTTCAATTTCTTGAGAAGACGTAATATTGGCACGGTAAGTCACGTTTGTCGAAATAGAAAAGGAGGCATTTCTTGTTTGAGCTTCAATCTCCGGAGATGTGATTGGGTCCTCCAATAAAATGGAGACGCAAATCAGATCTTCCCCATCTGGAACAGGCAGATCCGATTCAGCTTCAATGTGGCTTTCCCCCTCATTTAAAGAATTGTCAACATTCTCAATACTGGTGTCACTATCACTATCACTGTCACTGTCACCGTTGTTGCTGTTGTTGCTATCGTTAGTTTCATCGTTGTTCGTATTGTTGTTGATCTCCATGTCATTCGAGTCACTGCTTGGACTATTGGGAGCGCCTTTTGGAGGGGGAGTCTTTTTGTACTTGTAAGGGTTCGGCCTCTTGTCCTGTTTGGGCACTTTCATAGGCTTGTCATCTTCGAACATCCAAAAGTCTTCTCCAAAAAAAGTTTTTCCACCAATATCTGTAAGACTGAGACTTCTAGAATTGGGCAATTCCAAACTTTTTATTTGCATTAATTTCCGATGCCCTATTCTTATRTTTTTTTTAATATTGTTCAWAGCGTTTCTGCTATTTCCATCGGAGTCATTCGAATAATACCTCTTTTCATMTTTAATTCCGTTGACACCTCGGACACGTTGTTGTCTTCGCGTCTGCGCCGTTGTAGCTGCGTATGATTCSACTGGATTGCTACAGAAAGATAGCAGCAGCATCCATGAAACGAGAGTTGCTTTGAAGGGGAACATTGTGTAGCATCTGCCCTCCCGACCCGTTGTTRTGGAAATCAGTTGATATAAATAATACAGGTATACTCTTATTTCCGTCTTCTCGTATTATTATTGTCGATAATGATACTCCCCTTTCAATTTATTGATCAAGAGATYGTCTCTCGCTCTTTCCTCTTTGCGGTGATAACTGGATTAGGGGGACCTTGGTACTGGAAGACAATAATATTATTTGTGGTCGGTCTYATTCTCAATCCGGAAGCAGTCGTACGTACTGTCCGTRAGTTATCACTAGGAAAATTTGGAAAGGAAGACCGAAGATCCGGTATCGAATACTTCTATGATGTACCGGTATGTGTGACGACTATCTGTGTGGGGACGAATGAAATTCATACCGCGACTAAACTAACCATTAACAATTTTTGGCGCGACAGTTGCCCCGTCTCGATTGAACGGTTGTTTCCCAGTCTTCGACTTCGTCTATGATAGGCCTACATGTATTATGACTTTCTAACGTTGTGTCACCTTTCAGTTGTAAATTCTGAACGGTTGATTTAGGCAAACTCGAGTGAAACAAATGATTCTCTATGACCTCTCTCCAAATCACAATCTACGGTACAGTTTCTACAAAACAACCGTAACTCAAAACGCTTTCTCACAACATGCGTAGTATTAGCCGTTAAAAAATCAAACGCCGGGCGGCACGACTGGATTCAATCAACTCCGACTACTTCTACGGCTCCTGCATACAGCACATGGTATCGTACATACCAGGTACCGTGCGTGCGGCAAACATCACTTCTCGCTTGATTTGCATTGAACCCACATGAATAATTTCGTTCAGTGAGAGTATGGTACGACTGAAAAATACGAGAAGTAGGTCCTAGAAAGACAATGATGATTCATCATGAACGTTTCCAGTAATGATTCGATTACCACAAATAATCCAAGACATTGTGTCGCACTATTGTCCATTCGTGTATAGATATCGCGCTGGACAAGCAAAGTAGCACCGAAGAAGACCACAATAACAGCTTGCTACAGACAGCAACAGAGACGAAACGAAACGAGTCGGAACTCGCACTACCAAACACGACCAAACCAATTTCTTTTGCAACGTCGGCATCACATAATTAGCACAAGTATACGTACAAGTATACTGAAAGTCACATCAAAGACCTATTAGCACAATCCGACCGCCAATAAGTGCAAGTGTGTACGGTGTATTCGGCAATTCCCTACCGTYTTCCATCATGAAGTCTGCCTGCTCCCTAAATTGGTGCGCATCATTTTCGATGCTGTTCTCATCCGCAATGTTGCCATCGATCACGATACTGCTCACAACGATACTATGCACGGTGTATGGTAATGCCGATGCAACTGCCATTCCCATTTCCTTCGCGGGGATAAATTACAACACACGCAAAGGACCAGATTGGGCACCMGATGTAGAACGCTGCAAGACCCGCGGCGAAATCGTTCGCGATCTGACCCTACTTAGCCGAATCACCAACAAGATCCGACTTTTGTCGATCAAGGATTGCCGTCAAGGAGCCTTGGTCCGTTCTGTCCTCGAAGATGACTCATTCAGCGACATGCAGCTGTGGCTGGGATTGTGGGTAGGAAAAGATCCAAATAATTTTGCGGACGAGGTCCAAGCRCTGGAAGAAATGTTTCTGGATATGACGACCATGGCCGGGAACAATTTACTCACCAACAACCAATTRCTTGGTATAAGCGTAGGTAGCGAGGCGATATACCGCGAGGACGTCACTGTACAGGAAGCGATTGCAAACCTGGACACGGTCCGCGACCTCCTTTCAAGCTATGATATTTCAGTCCCCGCAGCCATTGTGGATATTGCCCCGATCTACAGCGCGTCACCCGAATTGCGCCTGGCTTCAGACATGATTGCAACTAACACTTTTCCCTTTTGGGAGGGAACSCCYATAGCCTATGCTGTCGATGAACTCGACAMAGACCTCCAATGGCTCTTACAGCTCCCCGAAAGCTTTGGAAAACCCTTTTTGTTGGGCGAGCACGGATGGCCTTCCGGGGGCTACATTGAAGGCGTCGGGGAGGCCTCCCCCGAAAACCAAAAGCGATACATGGCTGAATCGTTTTGCTATTTGAAACGGCAACAAGATATCAATAACTGGGAATACTACGTTTTCACCGGTATTGACAACGCATGGCGGCAGGTCCAGGATCCAAACAATACTGTTGAAGGGAACTGGGGATTTTTGGATTCAAACCTAAACTTGAAGGATCACTTTGTGGACTTTGAGTTTGAGTGTGGTTCGGGATCGGAGAAAAAGACTTATACCTTTGCAAGCGTGGATTGGAGCGTCCCCCCACTGCCCGATGATAGTAACAGCATTTTCGATAGTGCAAATTCATCTTGCTCGCTGTGGGATACCTGTCAAGAGCTAGCTGGTGATTGTTGCCCCACAGTCAGCGGGGGATATCTCGGATGCTGCAGGGAGGAATTATTTCTGGGCAGAAACACCAACAGTGGCGGCGGCAGCGGTACCGAAAGCGGAACCAAACCTGTTTTGTCAGTACCAGTGACAGCAACACCGACAGCAACACCGACAGCAACACCAACAATCCCACTGACTGATCCCCCCACAACTCTTTCTCCTTCGACGTCGGCACCGTTGCCGCTGCCTACCATAAATCCAACAAATAGTGATGCATCCTCAACTGCCCCTTCCGTGGAAATCGCCCTCTCGCCTCCGATACTTACTGCTAGTCCCACCATAAATAGTGCACCCTCGACTGCCCCGTCGACGGCAGCAACACTTGCCCCTTCGGTCGAGCCGACTCTAAGAACAAATTCTYCCACGATTTTGCCAACTACAGCAGCTCCRTCGCAAGCACAAGTCGTGCCTGTTASCAATGCTCCCTCGGTTGCACCGGAACCCAGCAAAACGGATGGAAATAGCAGCGGAACCAGCGATAAAAGYGAAACAGGAGAAATTTCTTCGACACCCKCCGACCAAGACTCAGCGGTCMCAATAAGCCCGTGGAATGAGAATGGATGGGACAATGAAAATGGTGGCAACRATGTCAACCGTGTTAGCAATAACGAGAACGAGAGYAGTGAAAGCCAAATCAGTGGTACAAACTGCATCAATCCTTTCACTAATTATATCGTCTCTAAGCAACATACAACAACAGGTAGCTTGCAGAYTACCACCGCTTGGCTGYTGTTCCACGGCGCACAGCTCTTTGCCGTATCAGTGATCATTGACCWCATAGGGCTGTACGTTTGAACAAACGAAAAATAGGACAGCATTAAGAAAATAGTATGATTTCTGAATGCCGTAATGATTGAAAGGYGTGTTGTACTTTGYAAGCTCCAACGTACCGTAGACGACAAGGTGTGTACCWCGATCYATGCACTTGTATTCTCTAGCACCATACTAGTAATGTTTCGAATAAGTGCAAAGCCAGTGGAGATCGATCGTGAAAGGTAATGACATGATGGCCATAATATCTATATTGTTCTTGTTATTTTTTTGACTATAGCTTGAACCAGGGGCATTTTTCATACAGTAACATACTTTGAAACTATCGGATTSCGATCCGATTCCATGACCAAAGCCATCGGCAAACTGTTTCTGGCACCACCGGCGGCGCAGAGAGCTCCACCGTCGCCTCCTACTCMAGGTCCGGAAAGCACCCGGGCTTGGGGACGTCGCACGCGACGCATTCCTTGTTCGAGGCGTGGTTCTCGAACCCGCAGCTCGTGCACTTCCAAAGCGAGGAGCGGACRCGGGTCTGGCGCCGCGGGGTCTCCCCGTCCGTGTCCCGGGCCGGCGTCCCGGCTTCRGTGGTCCCCGCCCGGCTCTTCTGGGCGCCGGGATTGCCCCTGCGGCGGCGGGGGGCTCCCTCCCAGTCGGAGTCGTCGCCGTCGGAATCGGAGTCGGACCCGCCCCCCTCGCTGCCGGTGGCGGCCTCGTCYTCCGAGGAATCGTTCCCGTCCGGCTCCSGTTTCTTGCGCTTGCGGTTCTTTTGGCTCGCTCCCCTGGAAGGATGCTTGCCYCCGTCGCCCCCGGCGATCAGCGCCCGCTTCGCTTTCGCGTTCTCCCGGAGGGCCTCCCGGAGGGAGGCCTGCTTGGTTTTGAGTTTTTCCGCCGCCTCGTCCCGGTCCCTGGCGGCCTTTTCGATGACCCTGGCGCAGGCCCGCTTGAGGTTGTTCATGTGCTTGTTGGTTTCTCTTTTCTTTTCGGTGTCCACCTTGATGGCCTTCTCGAGCGCCGCTGCGCTTTCCCGGAGGCGCCGGAGTTTTTCTTCGGCGTCCCTGATTTCCCGCTGTGTTTCTTTGTAGAGGACCCGCTTGGACCGCAGCGATTCCTCGATTGTGTCCCGGATGCAGTCAAAGGCAAACCGGGTTTCCTCCCGGAGGTGCTCGGACGGGGACAGGCGTTTCTTTTTCGGTTTGGGTGCGGCCTCCGCCGGGGGATGTGCCTTGGACGGGGTCGGGGTGACGCTGCCCCTCGTTCCCCGGTCCGGAGCATTCTCCGCAGCGGGTGTCTCCCCCGCGGCGGTTGTTGCGTTGGCGTTTGCCTTTGCTTTTATGTTTGTCCTGGCCCTTGCGTTTCTGCCGCCGGTGGCTTTCTCGGAGGTCCCGGCGCTTTTTTTGCGGGCTTTCCCTTTCTTCTTTCCACCGGTTTCACCACCGTCTTTTTCGATCTCGCTGTCGCTGTTTTTGGTGCTGCTCCTGCTGCTTTTGTTGGTTCTGCCATCGCTCGCCGCRGGAGAGCGAGAGGCGGCAGTCGATGCCGACTCGGGTGGCGAAACGTTGTTCAGGTTTCCCGCGCCACGCTGTGGAGAGGGGGTTTTGGCTGCAGCGGTGGTGGCCGATGAGGTCGCCGCTGCCGCTGCTTTTGCTTCGTCTCYGTCGCTCTTGTCCGATTCGGGAGAGGAACAACGGGGTTTTTCRGTGTGGTCCGGGCTTCTGGAAAGGGTTCTCGGGAGTCCGAGTGAATCGTCGTCTTTGTCGTTGTCGTCTTCTTCCTCGTCTTCGTCTTCTTCAAAGGCGCCCACGACGTTTTGGTTCCCGTTGTTGCCCCTGGCACGTTTCGGCGGCGGGAGATCGTCGCTGTCCTCCTCCTCGCTTTCCGGGGGCGGAGACTCGAACCCGTCGCTGCCTTCCGAGCCCGAGGACGCTTCCGAATGGTCGTCGTCGTCGCGGGTGGSTCCGCGTCTCGCGGAGGACGACCCGGTGAGCCGGCTCACGATCTCGAGCGGCTTGAACATGGCAGAKGCCGGAGTTGCCAATCGGGGGATCGGTGCGCTGCGCTGCTACGGAATCGTGCCCTGGTTTCTCGTTGTGTTGGCACCCTGGAACGAAAGAGGACGTCGGTGTGGGTGCAGCAAGAGGATTGTGGATAATGGATMCCACGAGGTGTGTTTGTGCAACGCTGTGTGTTGCATGCGCCACAGAATGCTATAGGAAACTTTGGTTTACAGAATGGAACTCCGTGCCGCACCTACCGTACGGAACGATGTGTCCGTGATGAAAGAGAAGAAGGTGACTCAATGATGATTGCTGAACAGTTACGTACAGTATCTTCAATGCTACAGTAGGATGCTATTCCTAACCGTACTACGTTAGCATGATGTGATGGTRATTTTAATTGACACAGAACACAAGGGAAAGACAACAGGGTGTTTTGTGTCGAAAGAAAAAAGTTCGCGCCAATTTATCATCATCCTCTCTGGTACCTTACCTTACGTAAAAGTCCGTAGTACGTACGTACTGTTGCTAACTACACTACTACTAGTATTTTGTACGACTCGAACGACTCATGGGCCTGGCGTTAGGATCAAGTCGTCTACGCSCTACACGTACGGACGGTACGAACCGAAAAAATAAGTACAATAGTCGTCTTCATTCGTGTCACCGATGTCATTGGACAGGCTGTCCACTTCCGCAATTCGTCTTCCCCTGCTATTCTATCCCCCGAGCTAGATCAATCTATCAGCCTCCGGTGCGTGTCAGCCGCCGTCACATCTACKGTGGAAGCTGGCAAGGCAGGGTCCGATGGTTGTTTTGAAAAAGTTCGGAGTGCGGTTTATCGGTGTACGGTACATCGCATTTAGGGTATAAGCATWGCATTTCGAATATCCTTTCCAGCAACTGCAGAGGGGGGTCTTCGACCAGAGTTCGGCTGCAATGCAAGAGGCTGCGCATCGTGCGAACGCACCGGGAGTTCTGGCATGGCACGGATGAACACTGTTACGTAGACAASCCTGTCCGCTCGGGAAGAACGTCATCCRCAAGAAACGATCGAAAGAGTGGAGAAGGACACTGTTGCTTCCAGGGCGAGCCAAACGGTCGAGGGCACGCGGCCCAAGAACCGGCACGAAAGAAGCCGCAATGGAACGGTGCGCCGTGAAGRGGATGCTACCGAATCCGAWAGGTACMAAAAACAGTGGGAACAAAGGCGTGGATCGGCGTGAGGATTGCATCGGTTCAACGAMAGAAAATGGACAATGAAACCGCAAAGAAGACAAAGGAGAAAAGCAAAGGCGGTGTTCCGCAGAGTCAGTCCAAAGAGAAAGATCAAACGAGTTCAACTGCCTCCGGAAGCAGGGACAAAAATAGAAAAAGAATTCTCCAACGATCAGATGTTGAAAAGGAAAGAGTGATTGCTCCATAAGTGCCATTCKGACCGAGGTAGGCACTCTCTGCGTTTGAAATCGAAATCTCAAACAATCAGCAGMGGTCCWTTGGCAACTGTTTCTGCTTCCCTCCCGTTTATCATGACCGGAAGCAGCTTTACCGCCAGAGGATTTCCCCGATTCGAGACGTTTCGTTGCACAGGGTTCACACAATCGAAACCCGCAATCTACCAAGAGTTTCGGCACGTTCTGCCCTTGTCCTATCCACTGCGCTGTCCGGATGCTCCGGTGAGTTCTGTTCTTGCAGGGGCGCATGGATCGCCGGCAAGAGATTTGCCAGCGGACGACGCAAGCACCCGATGATTGCCCACCAGCGCAGCTGCAGCGCGGAACACATGCGCCAAAAATTGCGTTYCGAGTGTCTCGCAGAGTCCCATCGTCGGACTTGCACGAGATGGCTAACACAGAGGTGAGCGATCGATCGATCGGAGGGTATGTTCCACAACCATTCCATGTCCTATCGTCTTCAAGTTTCGAAAAAGATCGAGAGAAGAGTTGAAGAGACACTCTTTGGAACAACTCCGCAATCAAGAGGTAATCCAAGCCTCTCTCACGACGACACGAAGAATCCTGCTCGTGCAGTATCTGATTTCTGTTTCGTGGCAAGGTCACATKACTCTAGATCACGTCAAAGAGTCGTGATGCATCACTGTCTATCTGTGCTCTGGCTCACACCCAACTAACTAGCTAATCAAACAAMCACCTCAGCGATAGGAACCTTGCCGGTCGAGTAATGAAATCGTTGCATCCATCCTACCGATACAAACATCGTTCTGAATTTGTAAACTTTCTATTGCYTAATTCCTTAGTCTTTGATGATTCGCTGTATATCGATGAATTCTATGTACTGTATTATATTGCTGGTCTATAAGTTCGTGCCCCCCCCCGGTTGTGGAATCTTGGACCCTCACCCCATCCTCTCGCGCCGCACCATCTCGCCTCACACCCATGCGAGGGCACCACCCGATGCCGTGGAATCCGAATCCGAGTCGGAATAATCGGACGGACCGCGGCACTGTGTGGTGTGTATTTTCGTGGCCACCACCTGTGTCTCCATGTCGGCAGCGCGAGCGGKTTCGGTTCCGCGTGCCTCGAACSCCTTAGAAGCGGCGGGATTCGGAGATTCAAAGGATTCCACGAGCCCGTCCATGGTCAAGACGCGGGCACTGCCTAGTATTGCCCGCTTGAGCTGTAGGTCCTTGTCCTTGTCAGTAGTAGTATTGTTAGTGTTGATGTGGTTRTTGTTCAGCGGTGACGCAGGTTGGCGGTCCTCGGTTCTGGAATGGTTCTCGTTGATGATGCTCATGGTATTGCTGCCAATGCCCAAAGGGTTTTCTCCGTTTTTGGAAGAACGCGTGGTATTGACGGTTCTGATATCGTGCTCGTCATCGAATCGCTGCTCTTCGAAGGTGGTACACATACGCTCCTTTCTTTGAGAGGGGCAAGGCGAAGACGGATGTCCGCGGCGGCCGCGAAACAAAAAGGCACMGACCCCTTTGCGCCCCTGCTTGTCGATCGATGCACTGATCCCCAGGCTATTGTCTTCTGGCTTCTCCTTGCTGTGGTTGTGATTGCTGTTGYTGYTGTTGYTGCTGCTGYTGTTGTGCTGAAAGAGCCTCATGGATCGCTGCTTCAGGGAAGCCCCGAGCCTGGATTTTTTGGAGCTCGCAGAAGACCGAACACTCGTCTCCTTCAGCGACGAGGTGGCGATCGCTTCCGCGATCCGTCTCCTTTGCTCCAGGTCGTCGTCCTTGATTTCCTGCAGCCACGACAGGGCCGACTCGGAGTGCCGGCGGGACAGCGACCCGGACCGGGMGCWGTCGCYGTTSGTCTTCGAGCTCCCCACCGTTTCGTGGGTTCCGCGCTTTGCGTGTTGGCTGCTGTTGCGGCTCGCATCGCGGCCGCTTCTGCTGCTTTCTTCGGAGCTGGCCATCTGGAGCCACTCGTCGAGATCGCGGAGCGAGGCCCGGGCCTGGGCGAGAAACGAAGGGCTGGCGCACGAAGTGCTGTCGCTGCTTTCGATGTCGCTGTCCATGTCATCGGCGTCTACTACATCGATGTTGTCGCAGTGTGTCACGAAGGAGGACGAYGCCGTGGAACAAGACCAGCCGTGGCTCCTCGGCGTGCTCCCGCAGCCTCTGTTGTCGTTCTCCTTGTCTTCCTTGTCGTCGTCGTAGATAGCGTTGAGCCGGAGCAGCTGCGCCTTGCTGTTGCGAAGGCGGCGATTGCGGTTCTGTTTCCTCCTGCGGCGGGGGCAATCACCATCCCTGCTTATCGGAGACTGCAGCGGCGCCGAGGACGCCGGCACCAAGGACAGGGAGAGGGACAGCGACGACGCCATTTCTTGGGTGATGGCACTCATGCCGTGGATGGGTTGCTATCGGCGAGGTAGCTGCAACTGTAGAAGCCAGAACTGTATCGTATGTGTTCAGGAACCTTAGCCAAACCAAACCGAACCCCTGTCTTGGTATGTCTTCTATTCTATTCTATTCGATCTGTTCAATGGGTCTGGGGTGGTTGCAAATTTGTTTTCAGCCTCGCAAGCTTTTGTTGTGATTGGCGACGGAACTTTCCATGCAGAACCTGRCACAACCTTTTTCTCTTCTTCAGATTGGTAGTTTGGTGCGTTTGTCCCGAGGACAAAGTTGGGCTACTGGAAGCACAAGTACTAACGGTAGTTCTGCTGCCGGTATAATTTTTCTAATATTTATTGCCAAAATMGACACGGACACTCAGGCTACACTCAGTATCGTTAACTGTTTCAAAAAGACTAATAACAAATACATSCCCCAATTTTTAACAACGCGGCACTCACTTTTTTGTGGGCAATAGAGTAAGGAGAGTCCCGCACAGAGCACAGAGAAAACGGTTTTCGGGCGCTAAAATCGGCGGGATCGCATGCTGGCTCGATTTTACGTTGAAGTCTTGGGTTAGAGCAGCTCCACTCCRAATTTTGAAGCGAGGGAACAACAAAATGAGGGGGAAACATTCTCTTTATCTGATACTGAGAATTTACAAATTTTAATATTTCTACCTACCGGCCTGTACGTAGTACTTTACGTGCGCTCGTTGACAAATCCCCTTGGGTCTATCAGATACAGTACGAAGGTATGCATAATGCTATCGTCTCGTATGAACGTACGTACTTCTAAAAGAACGAAGTCATCTGAGACGTACGAGTACGAGTCATGGATTGGAAACCGCATCTGACACCGGACTTTAAGCAAACAGCATACACAGGTGATAGAAAAGCGAGAAGGCATACAGCAATGAAGAGTTAAGACATTGCGCTCTCCAGTCTGCTATATAATCAACATACTTCGTTATTCTTTTAATAAGTGATTCTTCTACCTGTATCATTCTTGTATTGCAACAACAACAATATTGGGCGCGGTTGTAGTATTAGTAGAACCTAGAAAGAGTAGAAAACTCGTTCAYCAACACAACCAACAGGTATCCTATGCTTGTCGTCAAATGGTTCCATGGAGTCCAAGAGTTGGCTGCCCAGATCGGCGACTCCTTCCCCCACTCTGGCCAATGGCTATTGCCAGCGGTCCTTATGCAGGTCGATCAACGCTTCGTGTGCGTCTGCTTGGCCGCGTTCCATCCAATCCCGGAGGACTCCGCTATCGGTGTCGCTGCCCCCCACGCCGTGGTCCGCCGGGCGGGGAGGACCGGACGGAACCACGCCCAGCGCCGTGACGAGGGCCCGGAGGTTCTGGATCGACGGCTCGGCCCGAACCCCTACCGCCTCCACGAGCAGCGGCCCCGTGCTCGGATCGCTCCCGGAGTCGCCGCCGCTGCCGACCCCGCTCGCGGTCGGACCCTCCGGGCTCCCCGAGAGCTCGATCGGGCCCACCAGCGGGACCCTGCGCGAGGCGTCGCCCGGTCGAATGGCGMGGAGCAGCGGTGGAAGGGTGCCGGCGCTGCCGCGTTCGCGTTCCCCCCCGCGATAGAAGTACTCCCCGGAGACCGGACTCACGACGATTCGCCCCGCGCAGCCGGGATCTCCGTCGAGCGGGGTCGGGGGAAAGGGCCCCGCGATTCCCCCGTCCGCGTATCCGGCTCCGTCGATTTCCACCCCTTCGTTTTCGGGATATCCATGGCCACCGCTGCCTCCCCCGAGAAGCCTCGACAAGAGGCCATCGCCAGCGGCCATGTCGATGGGGTGGAACGACCGGGGAATCCGACAGGAGGCTTCTATGGMTTTCMGGAGTCGCTCGYGTTGTTCTCGTCGCGGCCGCCGCCCGTCGAAGGAAAAMAGGTGGATGCCTCCATCGGAGCACCTCGTCGTGCAAATCGATAGCAGCGGGGAGCGGGAGTGCTCTTTCCCCATTCCCGATGCCTCGGCGGCGGCCTCTTCCTCTTCCTCCTGCAGCATGCCCTTGAGGTTCCTGAAGGCGTGCCCCCGGTCCTGCAAGAATCGGTCCGCGAATTCGTCCAATCGGTGGGGCAGCCACGCGGTGACCGTGGCGGCGATGGCGCCCGAGCTTGATCCGGAGACCGACTCGATCGGAAGGGATTCGCCGGTCTCGCCCGACAGCAGGATTTTGGCCGCCCCGAGGTGGTACGGCAAGAGGTGGCCGGCACCGCTGAAGGAAAGGGTCCAAAACGAGCGCGGCGATGGTTGGGWTCCGAAAAGGGCAGAAAGGGGCAAATTTGCACCATCAGCGATAATAGCTGGTGCTGTCCCTCCATYGGCAACGAGGYGTGGTCGCCGTCGATGGAAACACCGTTGGAATCTCGTGCATCCGCCGATCGTAAGTTTCCCCATCGTTTYGTGTTCCTTCAATTCCAAGGTTTTGCTTCTTTCCCCTCTATCGGGTTGCGGGATGCTTGCCCGGTCAGCTGCTCACGCTCGCTTCTGGACGGTCGGAGCTAATGAGGTAAGAGGCGAAKAAACGCCGGTAGGGTTTGCRAGCGGGCAGCAATCTTGTCGTCGTCGACCGTATCGATTGYGAGCTGTGTTGTTCGATCGAAGACAACGTGTGCAAGCGGGCTCCTTGCTATGCGTGGARCCCCTCACGCACCTTTCTCGAAGACAATGTGGGTGCTCCAACGGAATTCTGACCGTTTTATCGTACWATGTGCAACGCCGATCAAACGCTACAAGTACTCATGAAAAATTTTGTGATCATGATGTTTCTCTCGTTGATTGTTGTCGGAAACCTTCCATAGCTGCGATAGATAAATTGAACTCTCGTGCCGGTATGCCAGCATGCCAGCCTTGATGGGATAAAAATAGACAATAAACATTGCTGTGAAGAGCAAAATGCTTTGTCTGGGAATCGAACCCAGGACATCTGCTTGGAAGGCAGATATTTTACCACTAAACTAACAAAGCCGAGGCTGTTGCTTGCTGACGACTAGGGCCTTCAAAACATTTAGAAACCCTAGGTTACGACAACTTTTTGCTCCCTTTCAAGGACATTTTTCATTTTTTGCATGTGAAAGAAGGCTTACTAGAATATTTTGGTCACACACAGTACGCTAAGATTCTTGTCCCGCTGAAAATGGGCTACAAACAAAACTAGCAGTAATACTAGTAGTAGAAGCAATTGCTACTACATACATCAATTTCTAATAATTATTCAACCTCACAAATTCCAAAGATTCTATTCCAAGAGCATTACTAGTAGTACTAATTGATCGAAAATTTAAYATCATGAAATGCCTGAAGTGAACGTATTGCTGTAATAAACTAGCGAAGAAACACTTCAATATTYARTACCAGTACTACTATGATGATACCGTTGGTCGTCTGATGTCGAAAAGCGATAAAAGAAATACTAGAGTGACAATCTGAAATGCTTGTTGTAGCAAACTACTTCTAGTTGGTAGGCACTATGTGTTTTTCGACAACATAGTAGTACTCTGCCGATGTGGCAGTCGCCAGAGTTCTCTGTCTCAAGWTCACGATGTTGAAGTTCTCGTGACCAAATTTTGCCATCTCATGTTTAGACGACGGTGCGTTTATGTCATGGTGATACCGTAGCTGCATGCAGTTGTCGCTATTCCCGCAGAGAATCCCGAGGGTTCAATTCTTTGCCCGATGAACGCATGGTTCCTGCAAGGAGAATCTTCAAGCTTTCCGCATCRCYGGCCTTGATGGACACGCCAAACGATGTAGCTTGATGGGGAGATATGACAACTCTCTCATCCGTCAAAGAAGMMTCCATAAAGCTATCGTCATCGTCAGTGCTTTCTTCCACATCACTGGAAATGAAAACCCCTTTTTTATGTCCACTGCCGCTCGGAACCCGGCGTGGCGGAGCTAGGTAGTGGTGAAGAGTTGTATYATTTGAATCAGCTCTGGGGCCGTCGAAGCCCCTKGTGGTGGCCATGGCAGCCCAGCGACCCAGGGAGTCAGAAGTCGATTGAGAGCGAAGGATCGCCCCTCTCTTCTTGTTTCTGCTCTTTATACCAAAAGAATCGCTGTCCCCAGTATGCTGGGAGGARGAAAACCAAGAACAATCGTCTGACAGAGAGCGTTGATGAGCTTTCTTCRCGTCAAAAAATATACCATCCTTTGTCCTTTGGGGCATTTGGGGCATACATTGAGAATCTCCTCCTGGAAACGATTTCCTGGTAGAAGGTCTGGGATTGTTGCGATGGAACATGAATGTGTCATTCCTGGTGTTGATAGTGCTTGCGAAGGATGTCGAGGTTYCGCAGGATGTTATCGAAGGTGTGGAGAAGGAATCCTCGTCTCCATAAAACTCACGAGGTTCGTAAGAATCATCATCGTCCGATATCGCAGATCTTGTCACTAGAGCCACCACAGAATCGATGGTAGAAGTTGTTGTCGGAAAGGGCGTTGTTTTCTTCMTACTGAGATTATTGCTGCTATTCTTTTTCAAGTTGCTCTTCTTGGACCATTGGGTCTTTTGTTTTTGTATAGAGTCAGATTCAACGCTGAGRTCAAAACTAACGGTTTTGTGCAGAGATCCAGATCCCATTCCAAGGTCACAACTCCGGGTTTTGGCCAGTCTCTTGGTCAGAACGCTGTTGTTGGACCATCTGGAATCACGGTGGCGATTATTATGATCCCGGAAGGACAAGCACCGTGGACGATTCTTCTGTTGCTTGCTGCTCCTCCATTTGWTAATACTGGTATTGGTGATGCTATTCCTGCTGCCCATGGTCGTGGTCGAATTTGATACYGAATATGAGGAGGAGTACGAGTGGGCAGACGSTTYATTCCTGGTGTTCTTGTTAAGCAAAGGAGTGCTACGCGAGCGGACAATTCGYGCATTGTCCTGGGTGATAGGGACTTTTATAATTGCCTTACACGACCTCTGTGGATGTGTTTTCGGATGATCCATGCTTTTGGAGCAGCGCTGCCGACGACGACGACTGTGTTTGCTTTTGTTGCTGTTCATTTTCGCATTCRCGTTTTCAGTCGGCTCTGTCTCTACTTTAGAGCTCTTTCCCTTCCTTAAATCATTCCGGCAATATCCACCTTCTTCGTCGCTGCTGAGACTGATGTCGCTATCACTGAGGCCCATGCTGAAACAGCTTAGGCCTTCTTCGTCACTGCTCATATTTGATTTTTCGGAGAGTAAGTCAACCAGAAATTCACCAAGGGSCGAAYTGACTTCTTCAATGCTGTTCATTTCAACAAACGCTTTTTATGTGCWCGATCAACGTTGMAGTATTTATTCAACTCTTTCGTTTCGATCGAAAACGTACGGTTAGTGGGGAATGGACTTTGGCGGACCAGTAGCAAGACATTTTYAAACATACACGAGATATRCGAATTGTCTACTCACTCTGCTTGACAGTCTCTTGTGGTTTGGGTTTGTGACACAAATATTGTGACGAGAATTAGAGACGATGGTGGTTTTGCKTCCGTTGATATTTTTCGTTGATTATTTTGTGGGATTATTTGTTTCGGATGGCGAGAAATATTTACGCTCACAACTGAAGCGACGAGCAACGCGACGATTAGTCACAAATTTTGTGGCTGATTGTTAATGCCTCTCCTCGTGTCCTAAAATCTTAACTTTCCGATCACTTCTACTCGTATAAAATCTCGATAGACATTTTAAATTTGTTTTTYCTGTCTTTATCATTCCGTCTTATCGGATAGGGCAATTCTTAATAAAATGGAYGATAACAAGTTTATAGTACGTAGAGGAAGTAGTTTTTATCATTACATTCTATCAATCCCGATAATTACACAAAATGACATTACTGGTAATGTCAGCTCAGATTTTATGACTTCATGATTAACTTCAAAAACCGTTGTGTRGAATATTATTTAAATTTCTGTGTCCGGTACTGAAAAGTGAAAAGTTCAGTAGAATAAGCTTTTTTGAGTAATGGGAGGGGCAATATCAAAACAATAATCAAAACGAACCTTCATATTATTTTCTTCACTAATTTAAAGTCTTTCTTACTTGGAAATTGACTATCGCCTTACTGTACCAAGAATGAAAAGGAACATCCATAGATGAAAAAACATTTTTATGAATAACCGAGAACAATCTTACAAACTTCGGTCTACGTAACCAAGACAATATTTAATCTCCATTTAGTGCTTTTGKGCAAACGAGAACAATCTCGAAGTTTCTGGCTGTCCTCTTAACGCAAGAATTTCCGAGAGCGGCGCTGAATGTTAGAACATGGAAGAARTTCGTCGATTGTTCACCTCGGAAGAAAATTTACCTCAACCCCTGATACTATAACCAGAATTGAAAAAATATGGGGTAGCCAACAATCATCGTGTTTTCTATCTTTTYGGTATCTGTATTCTGGCATTGACCTTCATTACAACATCCTATGGTGGCATTGGTTTCRTCTCCTGCTGCCAGTTGTTTGTATGTTGTTCTTCTTACTACTAGTAGTACTAAATGTAAAATCCGAAACAGAACCACAAAAAGACATGGCGAGGAAAGAAGTGAACCGTAGGCAGTGTAAGATGTGCAGGTGTCACAAATGCTAATGCTATTGATGGRAGTGCAGCATAAATCACCTCCTCCTACTTATTGGCTTGCTAAGGTGAATAGTTTCTACAATGCAAAAACTAAGTTAGTGCAAGTAAGGTGGAAGTTATGCTCTGAAAAGAATGTAGTAGTAGAAGCTATTCAGTGAAAACAATTTGGCTATTTGTTGTTGTTATTTCTGAAATAGGAATGGAAATCATTGATTTGGTGTTGTGTACTATGCTGGATATTGTTTTTGTTGGTGTTGTTTTTGTACTAAGCAGAAGAGGTGCTGTTCTTACAATCAGAACATTGGAAGTTCTAGTGACAACTCCTTGTCATCTTAAAAGCACAAGATGAATGCAATTGCTTCTTGTTGTGCTGTAAGACCAAGTCCTTGAAACCAACACATTTTCAAAAGATCTTCCCTTCAAAGAATTGTGAACAGTTCTTCTTGCAGTAGCGCCGCAATATTGATTGGGAATTGAGTTGAAGAATGATCTTTTCCCTTGTGACTTGTTTGAGTTTAATGGGTAATTTTTTATTCATATTCTTGCAGACATCAAAATTTTGCTGGTGTTGCTGCAGTGTTTTGAAGAGTTAAAGTGACCACATTTTTTTGTGTCCTCCTTCAAGGACTACCCCCATCCATTTAGTAACTTTCTCAGCATCTACACATGGAACATCAAATCCACCATCAATAGTAGTGATATTTTCACATTCTTGGTACCCATTTTTCAGTTTGATAGATTTGAATGTACATGACATCATGGCTCCATTTGCTTTTGTCCTTTCAACATCTCTGTTGTCATTGATCATGACAGGTCTACCAACATAGAATTTAAGCATTGGATCTCCTGTCCTTTTGGAAGATTTGTTCATACCTCCTCCTGCAACAACAATGTCAGCATCTGATGCAGCAGTTAGCAAGCAGTATTTCTGAAATTCTGGCATGTCTCTGTATTTTCTTGTTTGTCTATCTGCACKTTTAGGTTTTAGACCTTGATCAAAATGGTGTGATCTGGTGGTAATCTTTCATTTATATTTTGCAAGTACTAGTAGCAGTATGTTGTTTTGAGAAACTCAGAAAATATGCCATCATTATTGCTGCATATTTGTCTTCATTGCTGCTGCATGTTGCATATGCACCAACAATATCTTSTGGGAATTTGTCCCAAGGATTTACAATTCTTGAATTGATGATTTGAACATGCTTTTCTTTCAAGCCATTTGTTCTTTAATCATCAAGAAGCTCTCCCCAGATTGGATCATCTTTRAACCTGTGGTTTGTTTTAATTTCTAGAAATGTGTTGGTTCTTTCTCTCCAAAAATAGATTTTTTTAATAATAGGGACTCTCCTCCCACTGGTTTTAGTTGATTGAAGTCACCTGGCTGGTGGTTCAAAGACAATTAGTGATAGATTTCCATACAAATGATATGATGGCTTGTCACACAATAAGTTCAGGTACTCATTTAATGTTTCAATTTGTTTGATGCTAACAAATGATATCTCGTCAACAATGAGTAGGCAAGTCTGATTTTCCCACCATGGTGGGTCATGCTGTATAACATTGGATCTCCTGCCACAATGAGGAAGACAGCAAGCTTTATGTGGTCTTGTTTCCCCATTGATACTAATTGCTGCTGTTCCAGCCACCATGCTGCCTTTGACAACCAGAGTTCTGTTGGAAAAGTTCACTCCCACCAATTCTTTGCAAATCATCTTACTGTGGGAGTACCCACGGTCTGATATCCTACGGACAGCACTTACAATAATGTCAAACAGAATGAATTACTTTTGTTGTCCCTGTARACCACCAGTCCCTGATAGATAACAGATTAACTGCTCTTTGTTGTTCATGGTTGCCTTGAAATCTTCTCMTATGTATTTGTTGCAGCAATTRCCAATTTATCATCCTGTGGAATATCTTTTTCTTGATTGTTCAGGTGAATGCAGAGTTTTTTCATTATTTTTAAAAACAAAAGTAGCAACAAGTACTATTTGCAGGATTATCTTGGTCTTTGTCATCATTTTGAAAATTTAACTTTGCATAGTGTCCTATATTTTCCAAGAAGCTTCCAGGAAATGTGAAGTTTTTCATAGCTTTTGCATGATTACTAGTCTCATGKTACATTTTGGTTGGTTGAGATTTAGGATGTCAATCTGGTGTGGCTGTGGGTGTTTTCAGCAGTGGTGTTCTTCCACACTTGTGGGAACGTTGATTTGTGACAACTGAAGTGTCAATTTGTAGCTTATTGGATCTGTCTTTAAACACATCCCTCCTTTCAAAGGTTTTTATGTAGTAATTTCTTGTTCTAGAGCATCTTCTAGTCTTCCTGAAATAAATCTGCTGTAGCAATCTTGGGCACTTTTCAGTAGTTTTTGATGACTCAATTCCAATTTCTCACTTCTTTTTAGAATTTCCCTGTATTTTGGTAAATATTTTGAATCTGTCTGGAATTCTTTTTTGTGCATTCCTACGCAAGGGAGAAAATGCAACTGGGAGAAATTGCAACTTTTCTACCAAAAACTACGTATTTAACAAGTAAGGGACTAAATTTGTACTTTAATGCAAATTAGTACTACTACTACTACTAGTACTACTACTGATACTACTAGGACCTCCTACTTATATACCAGTAGTTTCAGCATAAAAATTGTATAACCCATCTACCCACTGAACCCAACATGTTCATTAGGATGTTAAGATAAATTCTACCAAAAACTAGGTCTTGATCTGATCTTTAGATGCTATTTTATACTACAATTACATTTGCTCTGTAGATTGGGCAGTTTATTGCATGCATTTAACACGTAAGGGACTAAATTTGTACTTAAATGCAAATTTGCATTTTCTCCCTTGCGTAGATTCCTAAATGAAAAAAATAGAAGCATTGCTGATTAAGCATATTTTTCCATGCCAACAAGCAGTGATTAGTATCTCTTAGATTATTGATGTTAACAGTTAACATCAATGTTGGGGATAGCTACTACCTCCAAACCTTTCACTGTTTGGAAAATCAATGGAATTGCTGGTTTCTCACATTTGGAAGTTTGGAATTGATTTTTTGCCGGGTGTGAAGGAGTTGACCAATCTTTGCTTTGACTCCTTTTGTTTTGGTGAGGAGGAAGTTAGAGAAAAAAAATCATAAACAGGAACATCTTCAAGTTTCCCTGGGCTGCATAAATAATTTGCAATATGAGATTTAAGAAATGTAATGCTTTTGTTTTGAACTGTCTTAGAATCCAAAACAAATTCCTTAATTGTCTCTCTTTCAAAACAATCAAGACAGAGAAATTCAAACTTATGAGCAAAATGGAATTGAGACCCATTATTTTGAAGGAGATAGCTTGCCGCCTATGGGACCAGAAACAATATCTGGCTTTGTGCTTAAAGTGACAGCTGCCATCAAAGCATGAGCTCCTCGTTTGCATATTGCAATATTGCACTCACTGTCTTCCTAACAGGACATATACATAGTTGATCCACCAGAACAATTTGCAATAGTGTTTAAATTGTGTTGAAAAAAGAACTTGTAATTTCATTATATATTCTGACCATGCAGTCTTCATGTTTCCTCTCATGTTCATGATATGCAAATAAGTTGATTATGTTTTTGTTGCCCTTCCAGTCATACCACCAATCAGAACATTTATTTTCAAATATCACATTTGATTCATTGCATCATCCTTTGTTTGGAATTTTCATTCTGAACTCTTTGTCCTTTGGTTTTTGAAACACGTTTTCACATGATTTTGTTCAGCATGCAACTTACAAAAAACTGTAACACCCAGGAAAGATGATCTCTGATTTAACTTGATTTTCTTCCATTTCATTTCCTCAATGCATTCCTGCATCAGCTCAATTTCCATTCAAACCTGGTATTTTGACTTTTTCTGTGATGTATTACTGGTAGACCATCATGTGTGATTTCAGAAAGTGAGTCCTCATCTGGAACATGTCCTGCTCTGGTGAAATGCTCAACATTGAATCAAGTTTGTTCATTGCTGTTAGATCATCACTAGAAAGAGGAGCAGTGCAGCATTCTTAACACCTGGCAATATTTTTCCACCAAACCTTGTTTTCCCTGATCTTGCYCTTCTAAGTTCCCTCAAATCTTGATTGCATTGTTGCTTGAGAGTTTGTTCTGCATTTACTTGTACACATTGATGAGTCAATAATTGCATGAAATTTTGTTGATATGATACTTTTTGAATAACAACCTGCTCCCACCAGCAAGTGATGGTTCTAGCTTCTTCCTCCATGATAATGCCTCTGGTGGTGCTAGTCCTTCACAACATGTTTTTCTTGCTAGTCCTGGGCTTTTCCACTTCTGTTTTGATGGTTGTATGGCTTCTTGTGCTGACAGAATTTATCAAGTCTTGGGAATGGGATTCTCTTTYATGATGTAAAATTCACCAGTTTGATTTTGGAATTACCAATTGTGACAATCATGGTGACTCCTCATTGTTCATGTAGTAGTTGGCCCATTTGCCGGTGGCTAAATGTTGTTGTAGAGACTGTCAATGTTTGCATTGGCATTGGCATTGGCATTGCTATGCTCTGTGGTGCTCTTCCTCAACTTGTTGGAGAGGAACTGGCAGGATTTTTGTGGGRCWCAAACTTCACCAACAAGGTGTCAGTTGGTGCATTATGCCTGCCATAGCCATAACTATAGGCAGCCAAAGCTGTCCACATTTACTGTTGTTGGGTTCATTTAATGTCTGAATGACTGATTCTTGCAATTATTTTTGAGTCTTGGGAGGATTTGGGTTATTCCCTTACATTTTGGAACAGCCAATCACAAATTTGACTTACAAGTATTTATTTTGAGTCTTGGGAGCCATTTGGTTCTCTGAAATACTGGAATAACTGATCATCGCAATAATGACTGAATGCTTAAAAAGTTTAAAAATGAATATTCTATTTTTGGTCAARGTACTAATTTATTTGCAAGAAATGGGATACTGGGGTTTACATCATGGAWTGTGTACTAAAACAAGTTTCTTTTTGTGTCTTCACCAGCAACAAGTCCAGGGCAGTTAGAATTCTTCAAGGTCAGTGGCTACTGCGTGTGCACAAAAGATAGTGGTAGTCCAGTGCACTGTAGTCAATAATGAGACTAAACTGAAKGCCACAATGTCATAGTAGTGCTGTCATACTTGTCATTTTCATCTTCTGTATTGTAATGTGTTGTACTATTGACTTGACTGGTGCATCGCCTGCAGTGGCATGGATTCTGGATCTCTACTCACCAGTGATAGTGGTAGGTGTTCTAGTAAAGACAATTKATTTCCATCTTCTTTTGCTTCTGCCTTCTTCCTACTGCTTCTCCTCCTCCTCCTCTTTCTTTGTCCTCTTCTTGCTGCTGCTGGTGCTGCTGCTTAGTAGTATGTCCTCGTTCTTCTTCTTCTTGTTCTTCTCCTTCTCCATTTTTATTATCTTCCTGTTGTTGCTGATGCAGCACTTGGTATTAGGTAATCTATACTAGAATCTCAAAAAYAGAGTTGGTGGAATTGTAGTCTTCCCTGCTGGTGATGAGAACCAGTAATAGTAGTAATAGTACTATTGTAGATTCATATCAAGAAGCATGATGGAAAAAATTCATCGGTTTTTCTAGCATTTTGTGAAAAGCCGAAAATCGGCAATGAATAGTATGTGCAAGCACTCGTGCTCGTGCTCTTGCTCGTTCGAAGAGTCACAAGATATTGATTTTTGGTGATTCTTTTTCTTCGGGATTTCAAATGCTCGACGGGACATCCGTTATTGGTTCTAAATCGTGGAACCAGTATTCTGCACATTTGAAATTTTTCGCCCACAAACGACCGGTACCGAGCAAGTCGGCCCTYCATTCTTATCTTTAATCTTGTGAAAACTTGACCGGCCGACAAATTTTGAAAGCAAAAAACTCGGTTAAATTCGATCGTACGTTTTTTACGGTGAGAAACAGTGCGATTTTCTGTATCGAAGCGAAGTATTGSAAATTCATCGCTCACACCAAAGCACCACCACTGGAATTGATTTCAAACGRAACCAGCGTCTAATCACGCATCSCACGACTTCGCTATCTATTGCATTGTCCATCGTATCGCTGAATACGAGATACATAGTCTAGATCTATGGTCGATTGAAGCTACGTACTCACTTCATTATCGTCACCACCATCTCATGGAAAGAACGCCTATCTTGAATTGTAGATAGGAGCACCTCCAAAACACTGCGACCCTTCTGCATCCATCTTCCATCGGCAACTCCGCATCGTTCTCACCGCGAGACTTGCTACGCCCTCTTTGAATCCATTCCTAAGGCAGCACAGTTCCAGCGCTGGACCGAGTCACCGCCATGTCTTGGCACAATCGAATCGCGCTGAAGCGCCACGGCTTTCGAAAAATGGGCGGGTACCAACAGCCGGACGACGACATGCCCTTGGTGAAAGCCTCGTCGTCCCTGACCGCGTCAACGGCCTCCTCCCGGAGCATCTCCCCTCGGAGCGGCAACACGCCCAGTCAAATCATGTGCGGAAGCGGTCTCGGGTTCAAAGTGAAGGGTCTGAACAAGAACGCGAAAAACAACTACAATCACAGCACCAAGAACATTGCCGCCGTTCCCGACGAAATCGAGGCTCTSTCCTTCCCGGAYCTTCGCGCCTCTGACAACAACAGCCCAGTCTCTATTCTGGAGGAGAATAGTCATTCGTTCACGGTTCAATTCGATCCAGACAACGGTGTGATTCCAGTTGTAGAAGAAAAGAGTGATTCGGCAACCGTGTTCTTCGACGAAGCCTCGAACGACGGAAGCATCTTCACTGACAGCAAACAAGATAAATGCGACGATGAGGAAGACAACAGATCTTTGAAGCCTCCATCCCTGGCAGATWTGAATTCTTACAACRGCGAAGAGAAAGAAAGGGATGCTTCKGACTCCAGCTCGAGGAATTACCTCMACGAAGATGCCGATGCGGCAACATGGAAAGCCGACGAAGTCGATACCTTCCTGGATGCTGAAGATTTCGGTGACTCGTCAGGACGATCTCCAATGTTGGAGATTAGTGGCATCAATTTAGTGACAGAACGCGATAGATATGTCAATGAGTTGCAAGAGACCAACCATCTCATGGTATTCAATGCACTTGTGCTCATCCAGAAACAAAGAGACTGGATCGCTGGATCCCTCGTTACCGCCAAAGGCGCCAGCAAAGGTGCCAGCAACCTGATCATGATGGAACTTTCAAATCTCGAGCGAAAAATCAAATTATTGATGGACCACAAAGAGTGGCCAAACGAACTCGAGCGCAAAAAGCAAAAGATCGACCCTCTCACACCTTCGAAAGCATTCTTCAAGTCGATGGCACTGATCGACAGATCCATAGAACAATTCCACAAGGGGTATTTGGAATGCATGTCCAATACCGGAGAAGAGAACCACGAACTCAGAGCTCGTGTTGAAGAACTGCTCGCTCTGAATRATACGCTTCAAAAGGAAGCATCCAGATCAAAACAAAAGACGGAAACAATTCGCAACCTGCAAAAGGAGCGGGACGAGCTGACACGAAGGATGGACCGGACCGATGAAAAGCTGGCTTCGTTACTGCCCAACGACGAAAGCGAGAGTAGCACTCCCAAATCAAAATTTCTCAGCGTCAAGTCGTACATCGAGAGACTAGAGGCGGAACGGGAGAGGCACTTTGCCGAGATTCGACAGCTGAAAGACACAATGGAAAGCACTCCAGTTGATTCTTTCACGAAGGGCGACGACACCCAAGAGGAAAATGCCAGGGCATCCGAAAGATCTACTCTTTCGGCTCTTGACAAATTGGCTGACGAGACAATAAGTATTGACGAAGTTTTGTCGGTTGTATCAGACATCAGCGATAGCGAGAACAGACTCAACGATGAGACTGATGTCCTCCGTGACGACCTCGGCTCAAAATGGCACACTCTGCAAGAAAATGAAGACGCCATGGCGTTGGTAGCTAGCAAAGAAAACGAGGTCAACAAGCTGAGCAAAGCTGTATCTGATCAKGGATGCTCTATTGAGTCGCTCCGTTCCGAATGCAAACTCATGAGAGTGCAGCTTTTGGAACTCGAAACGAACCGAAATGAGTATAAGTACCAGTGCGAAGTGAAAGACGCTGCACTTGCAATCTCACAAGATCGCATCTCGACCTTGGAGGAACAAGTTCTCGGTGCGCACGCTCAATGTGCCATGTACGAAGAAGASTTGGAGGCTATGAAGGAATCMTTTTCTCCCGAAAACGCGGCCACAAAACAGGAGTTTTTCCACTCCGGAGACGAAGTGAAGAGTCAACTCGAACGAATCCAAACACAATTTGAAGAAGAATTAGAAAGCAAAGAGAAAGAGTTGAAGGAAGTCGAAGAAGACCGTGAACGGCTAGTCCGTGACCTTAAGTCCTCCATGAAAGAGGTCGAAGTGGAGCGGGACAATCTACGCGCAGAGTTAATTAGAAAGAACAATGCGTYACCCAGATTACCGCCACTGCCACCACCAATTGYAGATACCTTTAARGATGAAAAGAAAGAAGCGGACGAAGACGTTTYGTTGCCGGGTCACATCGATTTTGAGCGAATGCARAGCCGGTTTGCGGAAAAGGCATCCAAACAAGCGAACACAATTGCGCTTCTAACCGAACAAAACGAAATCAAGGACGAGCAAGTCAAGGCCCTCCAGGAAATGATCGAGTCGATGCTTGGGAACAACAAATCCGAGTTTAGGCCGGARGATAAGAATAGGTGGGGGCAACGATTTTCCAACCTACGAGCCAAGTCGCAACGCAGAGCCTCGGACCTCTTGAACCGCAGTCGACACGGAGGAAGCACCCACGGYAGTCGACACGGAGGAAGCTTTCATGGAAGTCGCCATGGCGGAAGCATTCATAGCGACGCGGACGAGATGGAGGACTATTCGAATCGCTAGACTATACAAATTCCCCGAACCTTTCAGACCCTAGTGGATTATGTGAATCATCGGCAACWTTTCCGARGTTGGAGTACCAACGCAATGGGCACTTCGTGGAAGCGCATTGTGCAAGAACGGAATAGGAATTAGCCGAAATAAAGACGTCGAGCTGCGACGCAAGATACTATTTGTCACAATCTGCACTCTGTATCATAATGTTGTAACGTATTGAAACCGAATTTTATCCAAACATAGTTGTCTGAAGCATTAATTAYTCATAGTGTCCAAGACAAAACGTTCCACCCGAATAAGAGTTGCCTAATAACATGGGCGGGCCCAAAATCATGTCAAATTTATGACCAGCGACGGCAGTGATTGGGGAATATCATGCAGCGCTGGTTGCATGCAATACAAATTATCCAAAGCGACCGCTCCTCCCGGATCCAGCACACATCTACTATACAGCAGGGGTGCGTTAGACGGAAAGGGGCAGCAACCAGCTACCGAATCTACGKTGACAGCAAACGAACGAACGAGACCGAAGTTCCGATTCTAATTTGTATGCAACAGAGAAACGAAACGCGTATCTTTCCTTGACCATTCTATTTTTTGTGCTTGCACGTGTGTAAGTCTATGCTTATGGTTGCTGTTCGCTCCTTTGCAACCGCAGTAGTAGCTTCTTATTGAACTCCATTTTGATTGTGCTTGTGTTCTTTGCTCATGGTTTTCGGTAGTTTGCTGATAGGCATCCTTTTTTTCTATTTCATCTCTTCACTTCGTTTCATTWCCTAGGGGCTWCCTTGGGCAGCGGCTTCGGCGGCTCGTTTCTGTTGCATGGCCTGGTGCTCGGCAAACCTCAGTCCCACCCGCTGTGTCATTTTGATGTACCGTCCGGCGCAGTTTTCCAGGCAGGATATTTCGTGCTTGTCGAGTGTCTTGGACCGAAAGGAGGTGACACAGCCCTCGGCGCACCGCTCGACCAATCGGTTGTACATGCTGCAGTTGGTTTCGAATCGATTCGGTGACAATTGATTTCGGTGAGAGAGAAAAACAAAACGCGAGAAGAAGGGGCCAACCAACAATGTTAACGATCGAAATATATCTGGCAAGCCTTCGCCACACGGTGCATTCACAAAAATTCAATCGCGTACAATGTCTGCGATGGATATCGGCCAAACAAAACACGACCCGCATTCCGCGAGTGGCAATCAACAGAACAGAACAGAACAGACCACACCGCACTCACGTTAGGCTATCCTTCAGCTGCATCTGCTCGAGATACTTCATGAATTCCTGCTGTTGGTAGGGGGGCAAATTGCCGACGTTGTCCATCTTGTTGATTCTTTTRTTCTTYTCTTGYTACAATAAGGAAATTAGATCGCAGGTCCCGGAGGGGATGGTTGTCGTTGTTCGGTTTTTCTTCGTCTTCGATACTGTTGATCGGTTGATGATTTTGATGTTTCACAAAGTTTTTCCCCCCCTGTCCGTCATCGTTGGTGAGTTTCGTTCCGCTGAAGCAGCAAGCATCAGATAGAAACGCAGCTCTACTTTTAACACCGGTCAGACGATTATATTAGAATATGGAACATAGGTACAATAAGTACATGGGTGAGCCCTCGGCGAAAGTAGCTTCCGAACCGAGCGGGGCGGTCTCATCTGGAAATCTCGTTCCCTCGAATGCCGTATTTTGTGGTTTTTGCTTGTGATCTSCGGTCGTGCAGAGCCGATTCAAACCATACACATCATGACCAACGGAAAAAAAGGCGCACAAATTTTGTTGACGAGCGAGAGCAGCGCACTCTATTCGACAAGGCGTGCTCGTGCGACCTTGTGTCGTGTTTAAGGAAAACTCCCTCCGAGCTTCATCTCTTACGGTACCGTACGGTACGATATGTTAATTGCATGAATTTCCTTGAGCGGAAAAACAATGAATAACAAAAATCGATCCATCCACCCCCATCGCAACCCACAAAAGAGCACACACCGTTCCATTGGAATCACCCGCGATACACTGCCAACGACAGAACCGTCGTACACTACAGCCTGATCGCTTTCACAAAGAAGGATCCAAAACCTCCTACCACCATGATGCGCCTTTCAATTCTTCTTCTTGTGTGTGCCAGCCTTTTTGTTTCAGCCATTGCTGGCGAGACAACGATAGAAACAATGGCTGCAATCGAGAACATCGAGGAACCAGCAATGMTTGACATGGACCGTCAGCAGAGAAGAAAAACCTGGGATGTATTTGGTGTCTTGCTAATGAGTACGTCACGTATTGGCTTGCAGCACGAAACGAACAAAAACTAAATCGACAGACGCCAATCATCATGGATTTATTCTGTCTGGTTGATGTGATTGCATTTTACTCACCCACAGCTTCTTTTTCCAAATTTCTCTTTCGCTTCTTGCTCTCAATCGCACAACAGTGATTGGAAACAGCGATTGCGGTCCGCACGGTAGGGTACACCTCCTGGATTGTCACTTAATGGAAGAATGTGATTCGGGAGACAACAGCAAGTGTGTCAAGCTCTGCAACATGAGCTCCGACCACCACAAGAGTCACTACTCCGCGTTCTGCTCGAGCAGCAGCAGCGCCAATTCCTACAACGACAACGTCACTCCCTCAAACGTGGAGATGGACGGAAACTACGCAATGGAGTTCCAGTTCTGGATGGTGGCAGCTGCCTTTTCGGTAGCCGTGGCGCTCGTGGCCATCCACCTCGGRCAGCGGAAGGAAAGACGCCGCGCCGAGCTGCTGGAGGACGACGCGAGTCTGGCCCCTTCTATGGCGGGATCGGTCAACCGCCGCATGGTCGCGGTTTCCGCACTGGCGGACGGAGCCTTTGYGAAGGGAAATGGGGGTGCCGGCGACAAGCAGCAGGTGGAGATGGCGGAATACAAGCTCGACGAGCCCTCCCCGCTGTACCCGACCTCCTCCTTTGTGTAAATGGCTAGTTGCGATGCATTTACCGAACCATGCATGTTTTGCACGATTTATGCGATGCGCAGTGAGATTTGAGCCGACGGCCAAGCCGTGGTATGAGTTAGATGCTGTTGGGGGAAGCCGTTTGCAGAAGGGCGATGCTACTGGTGGAAGCGACGAATTTTCCATAGGTATTCGAAGATTTAATATTCGAAAACAAAKACAAAACGAAACGAAATGAGAGTGAATSGAATGAAWTGTAAATTAAAGTTACGAGTTTGGATTTGGGGATGATCAACAACAAACAACTTTGCCGCTGGATGCAAACCAATCATATGCACGGAAATGTACAATCGGTTGCTTGCTGTCTTGCCTTTTGTGTGTTGATTACGRCAATAAAAATTGAGCGGARTAGAGRYATGGAGAGATACAAATCCATCGAAATATGTGCGTGGCATGCTGATAATTTCTCGTCTCATATTTCAAAACGATACTGTACAATATTAGCATTATTCATAACTTAGAAAACAGAACCTTTATGATACCATACGTATGGTTGTAAATCGGGCAAGCAAAAATGAATTGCCCTAAGATGCACCTTTTCAAGTTTCTAGCTTGGTTTTGTTTTGAAGCTGGAGACGACGATTTAGGTCGTCAATCATCTATCTACCCGTCTATTTGGTCCCGAGAACGGTAYAATTTTCATGGTTCCCTATCATACCGGTCGGACTCGCCTCTTTCTTTCTTTAAAATATTTACCTCTTGAATATCGTAGGGGAAACGCACTCCGGGTGATCTTGCTCCCGGTTGTCGGGGAGATCCTCAAAGGCGGCACGATCGTACATGTTCCGGGGTTTCAAAAGGAATCCAGATCCGAAGTTCGAGACAAGCGGGACGTCCTCGGCCTTCGGGTAGTGCTGGAGGCCGAACATGATCCAAAAGACCAGGTCTTGGTTCACGACGTCCTCCTGATCCCTCTGGAATTCTCGTAGATCGTACGACGGCACGGACTGGCCGATTTGATAGTTGGTGGGAAATGAACAATAGCGCTCCGAGTCTTTTTGCCGCGTTATGGCCACGTTGCTGTACTGCCAGGCCGTGGCGGCCGCCAGGGGGTGGCTCTCTGGAAACACCTGGCGTGGAACGCTGTGCTCGAAGACGATCTCGTACGAACGGTGTGCYCCCCATCGGTTTTTGGTGTTGGATTCGACGACGATAGCATCGTAGTCCGAATGGGAAATTCCCCGCTCGCTGTCGATGGTCGTCCAGTCCATGTACTTGACACCRTTGTAGGAATGCCAGCCAGGATAAGGATGTTTTCCTCCTGTGGCCTCCTCGTAGGTCCCGTATTTGATTTTTCCAGCCTTGAGCGTGTTGGAGGGGCCGCCAACATCCAGATCGGCCTTGACACCGACAAGGTGGTCGTGCATCAGGCCYGCCATATTGTCGCGCAACCTGGTTCCAAACCATGGGACCTCGGGATTGTTGTCGCTGTTTTCCACGCTGTATCCGGCTTGGAGGTACCCACCCATTTCGACCTTGACCTCCAAAACGCCATCGGCCATCAGGCTGAGCGTGGGTATGTAATCGTAATTCCCGAGGACGCTGACCACCCGAATTTGCAGGGCAGTTCGAGGAATTCCCTTGATCTTGTCGTTTTCTTTTGAAAATTCGTGCCGCCACATGGGTTCTCCGTAGGGTTGCTCGAATATGCAAAGGAGGTTTTTGGATATCTCCGCCCTGTCKCCATCGTGCTGAATCATCGGAAGGAGTGTCGCGTCTTCTGGGCAATCCAGGCCCAGCTCGAGGGGTGAGTACTTCCCAACTTCCCAATTGGTATCGAAGTACACGGTTTGACCAGGGGAACCCATGGCAGAATAACTGGCAAAGAATTCCTGGAAACTCAATTCATAGGCCAGACGTTCGCCCWTGAAGGAAAGATTCCGCAAAACAATTCCATGCATTTGGTCTGAGGATACATGAAAGCTCCAACCCAGCCAGGAAACCCTAAAGATGTTATCGTCATTAYATTATTWTTGCAACRAGAACAAGASAAAACGGACAGTGAGAAAAGGTTGTGGTAATTCGATTGCATTTGTYAAAGCAAAATCTCTGTTGGTAACTTACCGATGCCCCGTTCCGTCGCCTCCACCGCCTCGAACGGTTTGAAGGTTTCGGTTTGTCGTGGATTTCTTTTGGTTGGATTCCGAAGATGGTTYGGTTTCGGAAACAAAATCGGTGAAGCGCAATTGCCTCTTTCGAGCAGCTGYGGTATCCCCTTCTTGCACCGGTTTCTCGTTCTCGTTGCTGGTGTTTTGGTGATCCTCCGACAAAATGCGGCGATCACTCGTCGAGGAGTTRATGACGTAGCGTTTCCCGCTCGAATGGAAGGAAATCGGTTCCTTGATGGTCGCATCCGGTCGGATGGGTTCCACCGGATCCACGGACGTCCACTCCTTGTTTCTGGATGGCACCCTACACGCTCTGACCTCACCGGCGTATATGGCATCGAGCAGAGCCTCGGGGGATTCGAAGGGGCCCTGGTAGCAGTACTCGAAATTGGTGGTCTCCCACTCGCTGGGGTCCCTGTCGGGATCCTCCACGACGTGGAAACTSATCGGAACYGGTAAGAGACACGATGGTCCAAACTCCCTTTTGTCGTCACGGAGTATGAAATGCACGGTCGAAACGCGTCTTGTTGGGCTGGTGGCCATGTTCGCGTACTGGATGTACCTCATTTTGTCGTCTCCGTCGCATTCGGGCCCACCGATGCAGAATCCACCCGTGGTAGCCTTGAACAGTTCTCGCAGGACGTAGGCAGAYTTGTGGATCGCCTCGTCGAAATGATCGGTGACGGAATGGTAGTTCCCCCGCATCGCCCACGGAATCTCGTTGTCCCTCAACAGTTTCTCGACGACCGTGTTTTGGGATCGGACTCTCCCGTTTACCAGGGGGCCTATTTTGTACTGCATCATGTCTCGTGGGCGCTGGCGACCACGATTCACGGTGACAATCGCATAGCGCTCCGGTGGGGTGTCCGTCCGGCGGTCCAGGTACGCAATGGCCTCCGCTTTGGGAGGTGGGAATAGCTGCACAAAGACAACGTAGTTGCGATTCAGTGCTCTGTTGGCGTTGCCGATGTCCTCCTTGGTGCCATCTGCAATGTTCGCACCGTCCGAAGTTACAAAATCGATYACGGATTTGTATTCCGAGGGGTTGAGCTGATCGAAAATTTCTTCCCGTGTGTCGAAGTTCGAAAACCTAGCCGCCGAACCTTTCCGGCACCTGGTGCAAGAAGTGGATTGCAATTCTCGTTCTTGTTCTTGTACGTTTTGTTCTCGTTGCTGAACCCCTAGCCATCTACGATGGCCACTTCTACGAATACCTTCGTCTGCACCKTCGTTGCCCTTGCTGTAATCTTCGGATATTGCTCTCACCGTCGGTGCGGTTGCTATGACAACGAAGATCGCAACGGCGGTGYAAAACAAGCGCATGTTTTAGCTGGGTRYCGTGGTAGTGATTGTTTCTTTTCCCACAAGTATATGCCAGTTAATCCAATAGATCGATCCGATTTGCGRTTCGTATTCGTCGAAACGTTGTATGAAGTACTCCCACCCTGTTTTGTACCATGGTCGAAGGAAACGAAACAAAATCCAGGGGCAAGTCGGTACATGCATAACCTGGACACCGTGCACATCAATATTTTCTGAGATCGCTAATAATTTGTCTTGGCGAATGAGTGACTCAATCCGCTCTGCTCGCCTCGCGCTTAAAAACACTTTTGTGCATACCTTTTGTGCATATAGAGTACGTACGTATGTACATCGAAAGAAATACAGTACGGTACACGGTCCGGTACTACGGTAGAGTACGTACGTACTCGTACATGGAAAATAAAAAATGTCTTCCTGCCACAAGTCATAAGACACGAACTGGACGTGATTGAAAAAGAAGAATGCCTTCTCATGCAGAAGCAAAACGGCATCAGATTGTGCTGTGCCCTCCCTTCTCATTCAGTAAGAGTACGAGTACGAGTAGTTTATGGCACGACATTTTTTTACGACTTGTGATAGTAATCGTCTAGTTACTCAGTTTTTGTCGAGTAATCGCGCGATAGATTACTGCGCGTTACCAAAAAAATCGAGTAATCAGTTGCTAAGAAACATGTGTTATTTTTTTGCAATATTTGTTGCACCTCGATAGGCTGCTTCGTTACTTAACAAAATTAGTAATCAGCACATTAGTAATTAGGAAAGCAGCCGTAGAAAACCTACTGAGCGCTGTTTGGTAATCTTCGTAGTTTCTTTTTAGACCAATATCCGCACCTTTGGAGGAGTAAGATTTTCGGCGCTAATTACTGAAGTGCAAAAAATTAGCAGTACGATGCCTTGATTCCCAATTTCACCGTAGAATTCTACAACAAATTTGTACCAGAATGATAATTTATTTGAGTTTTCGTATGCGATGCTCCGCATCAGCGTCCTCCGTATCAGCAACTCGTATCAGCGGACACCGTATCAGCAGCGAGCCTACGTGTATCAGCGTCATCCGTATCAGCGTCGTCCATATCAGTGTCGTCCGTATCAGCGTCGTCCGTATCAGCGTCTGCATCAGCGTCCTCGTAGTTCTTATTCTGACAAGCGATCGATTACTCGACAAGAAACTGAGCAACTACTAGTCTATTACGTCAATAATCGTCGAGTCAATTAGTCTTAAGCGCTTAAAGTAACTCACTTCAGTTGTGTCTTCATTCCTCGTCCCTCGGATTCAGACACAACTTCAGTGAGTTACTAGAGTAATCAACATCGGTCTCATCCTTGTCCCTCGGTTTCGGCCTCTTGTTGATTACTCGGTAATCATCTGGTAATCAGGATGGTAATCAGGCCTGCATAAAATAATTTAAAATGTGCGCATGGGTTCTTCTCCTAAGGGATTCGTGCTCGTACCTCGCTCTCACCCTAGGAGAAGAACCCATGCGCACATTTTAAATTATTTTATGCAGGCCTGATTACCATCCTGATTACCAGATGATTACCTGCGCGCGACTAATTACTCGACGATTATTAGACATAAGCTTCGTACCATATCATACCGTACAGTTAGCGAGATGCCGAAAAGGCCTCCCGTCTCGTACTGCTTTAGCGCAACGCATGGTGAAGGTTTCAAAACAATTGGATACGG